CAGGGTAAGAGAGGCCCTTGACTGCTATATCATGTCCCATTCTTAGGGTAAGAGAGGCCCTAGACTGCTATAACATGTCTCATTCTCAAAAGTTGTAGACTGCACTACCATGTCTTATTCACAGATTAAGAGAGGCCCTAGACTGCTATACCATGTCTCATTCTCAAAGGTTGTAGACTGCACTACCATGTCTCATTCTCAGGGTAAGAGAGGCCCTAGACTGCACTACCATGTCTCATTCTAGGGGTAAGAGAGGCCCCAGACTGCGCTGCTGTGTCTCTTTTTCAGTGTACGAAAGGCCCTAGACTGCACTACCATGTCCCATTTTTAGGGTAAGAGAGGCCCTAGACTGCTATACCATGTCTCATTCTCAAAGGTTGTAGACTGCACTACCATGTCTTATTCACAGGGTAAGAGAGGCCCTAGACTGCTATACAATGTCTCATTCTCAAAGGTTGTAGACTGCACTACCATGTCCCATTCTCGGGTAAGAGAGGCCCTAGACTGCACTGCTGTGTCTCTTTTTCAGTGTACGAAAGGCCCTAGACTGCACTGCTTTGCCTGTTTTTGGGGTATGAGAGGCCCTAGACTGCACTGCTGTGTCTCTTTTTCAGTGTACGAAAGGCCCTAGACTGCACTGCTTTGCCTGTTTTTGGGGTATGAGAGGCCCTAGACTGCACTGCTTTGCCTGTTTTTGGGGTATGAGAGGCCCTAGATTACACTGCTGTATCTCGCTCCCAGGATAAGAGCTGCTAGACTGCACTACCGGGTCTAACTCAAGGTTTACCTCGTCTCAATGTTTATCTTTCAGAGCAAGGCAGCGGAAGCTACAGTAAATATTATGAATTATTAGACTGGTTACCATGGAGATATGTATCAAAATGAGATTATTGAGAATGAAATGAAGGATGGTATCTGATATAATGAGCAATACTTAATGAAACTCTAACAGTGTGCAATCTATGCGTGGAACAGTTATTACAGTGTTTTGATTGTTTGGTGGTGTGTGACTGATTTCATCGGTTGTTATTTTCTGAGCTATTAGGAGTGTGTCTTGTAATGAAGCCAAGACCGATTCCATATAATGGAACTATGATCATACCTGTACCTGTGCAGCGTTAATTAGCTTTGAATTTATACTTCTGTTTGTTTGGAATTGAGAAACTCAGTGCGGCTGGCCACGGATATTTTGCAAATACATACAGAGAGATGTATTAATGGCGACTGTGTTGCGCATGCATGTCTGTCAGTATGAAATGTTTTCTTATCAGCAAGATATTATGACATTGTACATGTACACCACTGACCATGTTTTAAACATGCAAAATAATGTGATCTATCATGTAAATGGAAATTCTGAGGTTAGAGGGCAAATATGTATTTGAATTGACCCTGATACAGTATTCTAAGATGGGCACATAGGATATGGGTTTATTTGTGAAGGGAAGGGAAGGTACTGGATTTGGTGCAAGCTTACAGATTGACAAGTCTGGGATATGTAGAGAATAGTTAAGAAACCATAGTATGTTATTTGAGTGTTGCTGGGTTAATACTAAGGTTATTGGTTGGAGTTACCACATTTTTTAGTTAACGGACACTATTATTTATTTTTTTAATTTTCAGACAGGTGACGGGTAACATTCATATGTAAAGTTTCCGCATATGCTGCTACACTCAA